TCAGTTACGATAATGTGGCTAAAATGGGGGATAACATTTTCGCTACTCTTTCACTGTACGCTGTCTTGGCTGACATTATTACATAAAGGATACGGTGAAGTAGACCAACATTATGCACAATTACCTGTGAACATTTTCCAACCGATCACTCATCCTGAAAGAAATGAATGTACAATGGTAAGATATGTTTTCAACAGAATCCTATTGTACTTGAAATAGTTAAAAGAGTGATTCTTAAATAACATGCTGTCAATTTCCTTGCAATTATTACCATGTAATTTGCTCTATCGTATGACAAGTGTCTTGTTTAGAAAAGTACTGAACTTTTCAAGAACCATACAAGAAAACATACACAGATAAATCATTTAGTAAAGATATTCTGTACTTTAGTTAGCAGAAATGATTTTTCAAAAATATGTCCCTTGGTAGATGAAGTAAATATGCATCAGTAATTTCACCAGTATATTAAAGTAACGACGACGGCAAAAATATCCAATAATTTACATAAGTGTGCAAGAGAATGCATGACCATAATGGATGTAAAACCAAATTCACATTTAAGAAAACCTGAAGGGATAGTATTTCTTAACATATGTCGTCACCAAACAAGAAATTATTTATTGAAAAAGCACAGGGAGGCCACTTTAAGGCGATGGGAAAGTGACTGAAGCCGATACACCAAATCTGGATCAATAATATTGCTCATTATTCTTTGGATATTATCAAGGATCTCTACATATAAAACAAGATCCCTGGACCATATGTGGCAGCAATATTCTAAGCATAGACAAAGGGTAAACTTTTATATTTATAAGATAGTTTCTGGAGAGAAAAGATATCTAGCAATGCATAGCGAAATAATTTTGTAGCGGCTGACCGAGCTATGGATTCAATATAGATCGTTTTATGTCGGCTCTTCTGGAGTTTAGCAAAACCCATGCTGATGAAAGACAGAAGTAGGGAGACTCTCAGATGATTAATATATAGGAGTTTAGTTTTAGAAGCCATACAATTAAAAAAGAATCGTTTGAACGAGTTAGCAAAGGTTGAAGTTCGTTTTTGACATCAGCCGCCAGCTTGATCTTATCGAGGTGATTGGACTCACTATCGAGGCAGGAGTAAATGGTAGATTTATCAGCATAGATATCAAGTCACCGGGAAGGTCATCAGTGAAAATTAAAAAAGAAAATAGATCTAAGGGTAGAACACTGTGGGAGACCTGCATTATTAAGAAATTGTCTGGACTCTTTTCTCAATTATCGCCATTACATCAGCACTTGATATGGAGAAGCTAAATCCGTATTTATTGTGTGAAAAAAGTCCATGTGATGTTCGATTTTTTACTAATTCAGCATTGATAAGAACTTTTAAGAGTTTCCCCAAAAGGTAGAAGTGTAATACTTCGACAACTGGAAATATTAAATGGTTCACCTGAGTTCTTAAAAACTTTAAAAAAACAGACGAGGATTTCTAATAGGCCGGAAAGCAAGAGGCATCGAGGCTTTTATTATAGTGTTTAGAGAAAACATGAAGCAGTTCGCGAGTCCATTTATAATAGGACTATTATACTGATGCCATCAGGACCACATGCTTTGTGTGGATCCAGATTAGAGATGCTAGTATAAACTATAGAAATAGTAATATGGATTGCAATCAACAGAAACTCCGGTTTCATTGGGAAGTTAGTCTAAAGTTGAGTTCAAGGAGATTTTAACAGCAGATGTCAAAACCCCAAATTGATTTAAGTGGAAGAATGGAAAACCTACTATTATTTAATAATCCATTACAGATCCAATGTTGTTAGACGCAATATGGCGTCTCATTTTCTCAGCAAACAGAGATATAGCTACTTCGAGGACAGTATAGTTGGAAATAGCTGTTCCTGTCGGCCATAGCCGCAGAAACTTCTGGTGTGAACCATTGAGAAGATTCAGTTTTAAGCTGGTATTTCCCAGAAGGAATGAATGAATCCATGTTGGTTTTGACCCAAGAGGAAACCTCGGTGGCGTAATTCTCAATTTGAAAGTTTAAAATACCAGTCCAAGTGGCTCTCGAAGAAAATCAAGGATTGAGTCTCAGTCATCATGCTGGTAATAGAAAGAGGTCTTATGAATATAAGTTTCCTTTTTAATAGATGATTGAAACGAAATATTAAAAAATACTCCAGAGTGATCCGAGTTTCCAAGAGTGTTGTGAAGCCCGGCATGGACGAGTAGACTACGTAAAAAAAAAAAAAAAATCAAGTAAAGAAGCAATTTGCTCAGTTTTGCTAATCAAAAGGGTAGGAAAGTTCATGATTTAACTAATGGGAAGAGCAATGAAAAAACTGAAAGTCTGAATACTAGCAACATTGGTAACAATGAAATTTTAAACCATGTCTTGATGCTCATTATAATCACCGAATTTAAAGATATTCGCAGATGGATGTAGAGAGAAAAAGTCGTTTTTATATTGTCAGGGATAATGTCTAATATACTGAAGCCATAAGATGAGGGAGAGCAATAAATGAAACAAATATATCTAACAGAAGGCAATAATGAAAGTCGAAAGCACATGAAAGATTTGTCTAAGGGCTCGAATGAAATTCCCTTGTTATTGGAATTTTATCCCTGATACTAAATCAATAGATTACATGTGGATGGTGAAATGTTTTCGGCAAAGTGTAAGATAGACTAGAAAGGATAATTCTTTGGTAGCAATGGAAGAACTTCGATTGGTTTCACAAAGTGCAAAATTATCCGACGACCATTTCAAGAGAAAAGGTTCTATACCGGTGAATTTAAAACGGATACCGAGAACATTGAATAAAGAAATATTGAGGGGGGAAGGTGTCCTTTTGTTTAATGTTTCTCTCGTATTTTTTTCATTGTATTTGTCATGAGGAGATTTGTATTGACTAGAAAAAGAAATGGTTTTGTTGATTTGGTTTATTTTGTTTTACGGCATATCAGTCTCAATAGGTTATTAAATTCAGAAAAGATTGTTAGGATAGGTTTTCTTTATAAGAGATTCATTTGTAAATCAGGTTTCATTGATATATTTTTCAAAAGAGGGTTTTTGTCGAGAGCCAGGTATATTGCTGGTATTATATTTTTCCAAACATGTATTACTGATAATTTTTTTCAAAAACATTATTGCTGATAATATATATATTTTATTTAAAAATATTTTCCTGGCAATATTTTTAAGACGTATTGCTGGTAATAATTTTGTTCGCAAATGTGTTGGTGTTACTTTAAATATAAAAACCTAATTTAAAATTTCGTCGTTGTGTGACCTCAGTTTTGGTGTTAACTATGTGCTCATATCGGAGACCCATACAGTTGATACAACCCCGGGTCAGGGTGTACCTAGGAACAACAGCAATTAAGAGGTGGTTCCTGGCTTTATAAAAACTCCTGATAAGAGACTTTGCTGATGGACACAGTTAATCTTAATACCCAGGACGTAAAAATAAAAAAATGAAAACCCAACATAATTTTCACTGTATATCATCAATAAAAATAAAAACTAACCAGAATGTGCCAGAGATCAGTAAATAATGTGGCCTCAGCGTTTCCCACCGAAAATACATGCAGGGACACATACCCATGTGCGACATGACACTACAAATAACACGATATTATGCGACTGTTGATCAGAGCAGTCTCTCTTCTACCAAATGGTTCGGGCTCCTTATTACCAGTCGGTTGCCGCTGCCAGAAAACTGCTAACTCAATACCTTAATAAAGGAAAGTTGCAGCCACTGTTTCTTCTGATAGCCAAAAGTTTAAGAGTGTTAAATCATTATGACAGTGGAACAAGAGGGAATAAATAAGCGGTAAACCGCATCCTAAAAATGGAACAAATTATGAATCTCTATTCCTGTTCAATAGTATATAAACGTATTTTGATACACCATATAATACATATATATATATATATATATATATATATATATATATATATATATATAAGATCGAAAAAAAGTATAAAACTTAATATTACGAGACATATTAAAAAACGGGCGAAGCAAACGGTTTCGCTCCCACTCTTCAGGCTTCAACGGGATATTTAATTTAAAATTAACACAGAAAAATGTACAATAAAACTGTTTCACCGTGTTGTCCTGGTCGCACTCTTTCTTTCATCTAAAGGTTCAGGAGGCAATTTACATCGGTTCTCTTAAGCCTTCTTTGTGTAAACAACGTGAGGGTTTGTTGGGACTCATTGTCATTTGCCTCTAGTTCCTTTTGCTTTTGTTTTCTCCTCCCACAACATCCTTTTATTGTACATTTTCTTTGTTAGTTTTAAATTAAATCTACTGTTGAAGCTGAAGAGCGGGAGCGAAACCGGTTGCTTCGCCCGTTTTTGATATATTGTTTTTTCTTTTATTTCGATCATTAAATTTTGTACCTTAAAAAATATCTTTTATATATATATATATATATATATATATATATATATATATATATATATATATATATTATATATATAGCATGTTAGAACATGTAACTAACTACAAAAACTGAATATTTCGTTTCGACGTTTAATAAATAATGTCTCATCAGGTATTTAACAATGATATTAATAAACGATTTTGTTAAAATTGCAATTTATGAAATATCACTACGTTTTCTGTTTTTGAAAAAGTTTCCGCCCAAGCTTAAATGATTTATTAAAAAGGAAAAAGAAAGAAAATAAGAAATCAATAAAAGGAAGAGGAAAGTATAGAAAGGCAAAAAGAAAGCATAAGAAATGAACTCTACAACCAAGATAATAGTGAGGAAAGACAGTCAAATGAAAGAGAGGAGTATATTCAAAATGACACAGTTACAAAGAAAAAGGAAATTTAAGAAAATAACATGAGAAGATGTAGATACGACTTAAGCCTATGAAATTATTCTGAAAAAGGGAATTCAAATTTGAACAAAAATGAGGAGACAGCAGCCAAGCCTCGTTTACCATTGCAATTCTCGACGCTTGTCTTTGATTTATACTCGTTGTAGACGTTGAAAATAATGTTCCTTTTCTCTTTCGTCGGTATTTCAAAATTCTGTCTTACGTAAGAATGAGGAAAGTACTATCGACTGAGTTAAGGACACTAATCAAAATTTGTGAGATTAATTTGCTTAAAAACTACATATACATAAGACATCCTTTTTTTCCTATTAAATTAAATATGGTCATTCTGGAAATTTGTCATATTTTTATTACTTTTTAATAAATTCTCCAAAATTTGCAACGTGTTTACTCTGTATAATTATTTATGTCATTCACATGTCCTTAATATATCGATCGAACTGTTAATTTATCTGCTAATATACTATAGAGTAGAAATGCAAGAAGACTGAATTATTGCCATGATATTATTAGTTTATTTTCTATGATTTCTGGTGTATGCACATTTATATCCGGGTAACAACCAAAGACTTAATGTCAGAAATGGCATCATGCCATTCTCCACTGACTGTAGTTGTGATTTTCAGGTATTTCTTTAAGGAAAAATGACATTGGGATCATTACAATCAGTCCGATTTTAACATATCTGATGTGCAAAATTTTTGTGATTTTGAATTCAAGGTCATTGTATTTGGATAGCTTTTTGAAGATCTTTAAAATATATTACAGTCTATTTCACTCATGTCTATGAGGGAACATTTTTTTTCGCGATCTCTCATCGAATCATTTATTATTATTAATGACTTTTTATTTTTCTTTCGGGTCCTCTCAGGGACCAAGGTTACAAATGGCGTCCGATTGACAGAAAAATAAAAAAATAAATTCAAAATAAAGCCCTTCGTAAATGGTGATTGTCAGAACAATTTTTGATCTGATGTGGACTTCCAAATTTTGTGTCTACTGCATTTTTTTCCAATCCTCAACTACAACAGGTTGATGTTCATTGTATTTTATTTCATGTTTCTTGTGGTTTGACTTTTTGAATATCTTCAAAGATATTGCAGTCAGCCAGTTGTCCATATCAATAAGATTGTTTGTGTCTTTAATGTATCTGGCCAGTTGTCTCATTGTTCTGTCAATGTAACAGGGTCTGGGTGGTGTTCATACCAGTTTCCTTCACTTTCCTTCCTATACAAGTTGCAGATTTTCCAGTGCAGATATTGGCCCACTCTGTCATGTTGGTTATTATATTCAGTGTGTGCCAACATCGTGCAACCTGATACAAGATGATCAATCGTTTCTGGATATTTATCACAGAATCTGTATTTTGGGCTGACACAATATTTTAGTATATGTGCTTGATAATTCCTAGTTAGCAAGCATTGGTCCTGCGCAGCAAGGATGAAACATTCAGTTTTCGCGTTCAACCCTGCACTACGTAGCTACTTATCGGTATGGTTTTTGTCTACGTCGGTTTGTTTGGAACGGGCAGAGTATTGGCCATGAAGCGGTTTATCTTGCCATCGCTTCTATATCTGGTCGGTTGCATTCGTCTTTGCTGTCTTTGTTAGAGATTTTGCAGTTGCATCCGGTGTATTGTGCTGTAGTTGCATCTCTACGCCCATTTGAAACTCCATTTTGAAATTGTTGGCTTCTTTCATTACGGAGTAAAGACGCTTACTACTTTCATGTTCCTTGACGCATACCATCATCCAGTCTTCTGTTGTTTCCAAATATCTTTGGAGTCCAATTGTTGTAGTTTTGTAGAACAGTTCTAGTTGAACTAATCCTCTGCCCACTTCGGATCTAGCCACATACAGACGATCAACATCAGCTTTGGGATGATGCATGCGATAGCAAGGGAGAAGCTTTCTCGTTTTGGCGTCCATTCGCTTAATTTCAGCTATGGTACACTTAAGAACATTAAAGCTGTATTGCATCACAGGGACAGCCTGTTCTTATTTTCTCCTTCATTTGGGGGTGTTGTACTTATAAGCTTCATCATGCTCCAGTTCCCTAATCTTTGTGACAAAATCTAAATCTATTAAGGGTGTATATGTCATTCTTTCTTGAATGTTACTTTTGCACATTTATCTAATCCAAAGTCCATACGTATGTCGTCACTGAAGTATTTTACAATATTGAGGAGGCCTTTCAACGCATTGTCGTCTTTGGCAAAGAGTTTGAGATCATCCATATAGAGTAGGTGATTGAATATTTTCTTATTTATTTTGTAACCATAGCTACCGTTGTTCAGTTCATGTCTAAGTGTGATTAAGGATAAACAACACAGATGGGGTGACAGAGAGTTTCCTTGAAAGATTCCAAGTCGGATATTCAGACGGTTGGATATGGCAGTGCCCCCGGTGTGACTAAGGTATAGTTTGGCGTTGCACATTCCCATGCTGTGCTTAAAGAAATTTAATACCACAGGGGAGACTTTCTACATTTCCAAAGACTTAAGGATCCAATAATATGGAACACTATCAAAGGCTTTACGATAATCAATCCACGCTGCACTTAGATTTCTGCGTCGTCTTCTGCAATTTTCCAGGATCATTTTATTTATCAGAAGTTGATCTTTGCAGCCATATGAACCTCTTCTGCATCCTTTCTGTTCCAGCGGGAGAATGCTGTTTGTTTCGAAAAATGAATAAGTACGGTTCGTCAGTACAAAATTGATCAACTTATACGTTGTGGAGAGACATGTTATCGGTCTATAATTTTTCGGGTCGTCTGTTTGAATTGTTTTTGGTATGATGTGTGTAATACCTTCAGTAATCCATTCCGGGACTTTATTGGGATTATTTACAAGCGTTGATAATGTTTTTGCAACAATTTCATGTGTAGATGAGAGATGATACAGGCAGAAATTGGGCAACTTGTCATTTCCTGGGGATTTCCATTTTGGGGATTTCCTTAGAGCTTGCCTAATATCATCTGTGGATATATTTTCCCATTCTTGCAGAGGTGTATCCAGCAGTCGTTCTTCTTCTCGCCATATCCATTCTGCATTTGGGTTATATTCCTTTGGGCTGCTCCAAATATTTTCCCAAAATGTCTGTTCATTATCAATCGATGGTGGCCTTTCGACATGTATAGGTTTTTTTCCAATTTCCCTGTAAAATTTCTTAAGATCTGTTCAGAATATTTTATTTTGGCGATAGAACCTACAACGTTTTTCAGATCGTCTTGTTCTCAGTGCCTTTCGCTGAAGTTTCTGCTTCAGCATTTCCTTGATTGATGGAATATCAATTAGGGATTTAATGTTATATTTCCGCTTGATCTTTTTGCATTTACGTGTTGAAATATTAGGGTTTCTGGTGAGCTCATCTAATATAGAAATCTCACATCTGATTTGTTTATTTCTCGAATCAGTTTGGTTTTCCAAGCTGGTTCTCTGTTTCTGTTAATTTTATTTATTTTTCTGACCCCAAGCTTCCGAGTCGCTGCTAAATCTGTAGCTTATATGACGTTGTTAACTTCTGTGATGTTTCCCGGTGGTTTATCTGTTAACAGTGCTTCCAGAGCAGCATTGTATATTTTCACGATTTGCTTGATGGAATTCGTCATATGGATTTTCGGGAGCTGGTCTCTGTCTGACAATTGTATGAAAGTTACTCTGCTGAGTACTTGGATGACGTCATTTTTCGCTTCGTTGATTTCAGCTTCGTGGTTTTCAAGGAATTCTAACTTATTGTCACTGAAGATGACTTCAGCTACATTTTCTGGAGAACTGCAGGTTGTGTTTAATGAAGAGTCTTGGGTTTCATTTCCTTGGAGATTGTTTCGTATTTCATTCGCTTTAGCGTCCACCTCATCCACTGTTGCATTCCTTATTTCTACATTCGTCTCAATAGAGTTTGAGTGATGGGTCATAGTATTTTGTCTTATATCTAATTTTATCTTATATATTTCTGCCTTTGAGAGTCTGTTATTTCGCATGATGGGAAGCATGTTTGGATTGAGTTTAGGTCTTATATTATTTCCCACCGTACTTCTCCATATTTGGTATGTTTGATTGGTGGTGTTCTTTGCTGGGTTTTCGAGTGCAGTGAAGAAGGATGTCATGACTTGTCGATACTCTTTGCGGCTCCATTTCGTTCGTTTGCTTTTTATTAGTCGATTTGGTATTGAGTCACTTGGTCCAAGGTTGGCAATAATCCGGTTTTGGTGACCTAGTGTCTCTTCGTGTGTGGAAGAGTTTGTTCCAGTGACAGACTTTTTGTCCTCAGACTTGTTCCTCTCTGAGGGACGCGGCCTTTGTTGTCCCGTTTGACGGCCGATCCGGTATGAAATATTATTCCTATTCATTGAAATTAGTAGAGATGCGTTTTAACCTTGACTGACAACGGGTAATTATGTTCAGGTTACCAGCTTTAGGATGAGTCTCGAAGAAGATCCAAAAGCAGGCCCAACCGATGAGATTGTGGATTTATTAATATAACGAAGGTAGAATAGTTCATAAGAGTGTATGGTATTCAGTGGGGTAGACGATACAAAGATTTAACTTAGTATAAGTCGGAGTGACAACTCCAAGGGGGAAATAATAGATTGTAGTATATAGACATAAAAAAAAAAAAAAAAGGGGAAAGAGAAAAGGGAACTGAAAAGGAAAAAAGTAACTTGAGTCAAAAGAATTTAGAATCATATCAAACTACAGGAAAAGTATCATTCAAAAATGGTATATTTACCGTTTCTTACAAGTTCGGAGCATGGCAAAAGTGACTTTCCACAAATGTTCAATTCTCCGTCGCCAACGACAGATACTTATCAAAATTTATGGAGGAGGCTGGACTTATACTACAGATTGGTAGTGGGGGATATCAAAGAATTCATTAAACAAAGGGGTGGAAGCAGAGCAGTAAAAGTTATACTTTTCAGGTCATCTCTCAACCTACTAGCCGTTAAAAGATATATTTTTAAATTTTCAGTCAAAGAGACGAGAAAGGCAGAGTATTGTAGGAAAATTGCACCTGTAGCCATGAAAAATAAAAAAGAAAAAATAATACAATATGATCTCTGTCAATGCGGATACATACACATGTACATCATATATATATATATATATATATATATATATATATATATATATATATATATATATATAAATGGAGCGAGAGAGATAGACAGATATTAGTAAACATTTACACATACACGCAACGACAGATATATGGGATGCCTAAAGTAAGAGAAAAATATTATTAATATTATTATTAATATTTTTATTTTCTTTGATTTCTGGCGTTTACACATTTCTTTCCGGGTCCCGCCCAGGGACCTAAGGTTAGAAATGGCGTCATGACACTTTCCACTGACCTAAAGAAAAAAAAATTAAATTACATAGATAAAGCACTTCGTAAGGTGTGGGCTGTACTTGTAAGAACAATTTTTTGTATCTCCTTGAGGCATGGACTTCCAGGAATCCCTTCAATTAGTCTACTGCAATCTTTTCCAACCAGTTCTAGGGCTCCAACTACAACGGGGATTGTTGATGTTCCCATATGCCACATTTTCGAGATTTCTTTTAAATGTTCTTGTATTTTTACAACTTTTTGAATATCTTCAAAGATACATTGCAGTCAGCAGGGACTGCCATGTCAATAAGGAGGCACCGTTTATGTTTGTGGTCTTTAATAACAATATCTGGCCGGTTGTCCTTGATTGTTCTCTCAGTGTGTATTGTGTAATCCCATAGAATTGTAACAGGTCCTATCTCCGTAACCTGGTCTGGGTGGTGTTCATACCAGTTTCTTTCAGTTTCCTTACCGTAGAAGTTGCAGATTTTCCAGTGCAGATATTGGCCCACTCTGTCATGTCGCGTTTTATATTCAGTGGGTGCCAACACCGTGCAACCTGATACAAGATGATCGATCGTTTCTGGATATTTACAACAGAATCTTCATTTTGAGCTGACAATATATTTTAATATATGTGCTTGATAATTCCTAGTTAGCAAGTATTGGTCCTGCGCAGCAAGGATAAAACCATCAGTTTCCGCTTTCAACCATGCACTACGTAGCCACTGATGGTTACGGTTTTTGTCTACGTCAGCTTGTTTGGTACGGGCAGAGTATTGGCCATGAAGCAGTTGATCTTGCCATCGCTTCTGTATCTGGTCGGTTGCATTCGTCTTAGCTGTCATTTTTAGGGATTTTGCAGTTTCAGCCGGTGTATTGTACTGTAGTTGCATCTCTACGCCCATGTGAAACTCCATTTTGAAATTATTGGCTTCTTTCATTACGGAGTAAAGACGCTTACTACTTTCATGTTCCTTGACGCATACCATCATCCAGTCTTCTGTAGTTTCCAAATATCTTTGGAGGCCAACTGTTGTAGTTTTGTAGAACAGTTCTAGTTGAACTAATCCTCTGCCTCCTTCGGATCTGGGCACATACAGACGATCAACATCAGCTTTGGGATGATGCATGCGATAGCAAGTGAGAAGCTTTCTCATTTTGGCGTCCATTCGCTTAATTTCAGCTATGGTCCACTTAAGAACATTAAAGCTGTATTGCACCACAGGGACAGCCAATGTGTTTATGGCTGATATCCTGTTTTTTGAGTTTAGTTCAGTATTTAGTACCAGACGTACACGCCTGTAGTACTCTTTTCTTATTTTCTCCTTCATTTGGTGGTGTTGTATGACATCTCCTTCGCTAATTCCTAGGTACTTATAAACTTCATCATGCTCCAGTTCCCTAATCTTTGTGACAAAATATAAATCTATTAATGGTGTTTCTGCAATTCTACCTTTCTTGAAAGTTACTTGTGCATATTTATCTAATCCGGAGTCCATACCTGTGTCATCACTGTAATATTTTACAATATTGAGGAGGCCTTTCAACTCATTATTATTATTATTATTATTATTATTATTATTGTTTTTTCTTTCGATTTCTGTGGTATAAATATTTCTTTCCGGATCGCATCCTGAATCCTAAAGACAGATATGGCTTTATGAAATTTTCCACTGATGATATATGTAAAATGTCACACATATTTTACATAGATAAATATCTTCATAATGTGTGAACTGTACTTGTGAGCACATTTTTTTGTGTTTCGTTAAGACATGGGAAGCATGGATGTCTTTCAAGCTGTCTCTCGGTACCTTCTCTAATCAGTGCGAATGCTCTAACTAGAAATGGAGTTATTGATACACACTTGGTCCACATTTTGGTGATTGTCTCTTCAACATCCTTGTAGTTTTGCAATATCTTTTAGATCTTCAAAATATATTACATTCTGCGAGGTATGCTATATCAATAAGAAAGCACATTCTATTACTTTTTGGATCATTGATCCCGACGTCTGTCCGCTTAGATATTTTTGTACGCTATGTGTGTATTGCAAAATAACATGAGATATTTAAATGTCCTATCCCTTTAACCAGAGAACCATAGCTGACATTAAGCGAATGGAGGCCAAAACGAGAAAGATTCTCCCTTGCTATCGCATGATTTATCCCAAAGCTGATGTCGATCGTCTGTATGTGCCCAGATCCGAAGGCAGAGAATTAGTTCCACTAGTAATGTTCTACAAAACTACAGCATCTGGCCTTCAAATTTACCTGCAGACAACGGAAAATTGGATGATATGTGTCAATTCCTGAAATTAATAATCATCTTTATTCCGTAAAAAAGGATGCCAACAAATTCAAAATGGAGCTTCAAATGTGTTCAGAAGTACAAGTAAGTCACCATACACCGACTGAATCTGGGAAATACTTGAAAAAGAAAGCAAAATGAAATCCAACCGATCAGATACAAAAACAATGGCAAGATAGACTGCTTCATGACCAATACTCTGCCTGTACGAAAAACTGATGTAGGCACACCACGTACTCATCAGTTGCTACGTTGTGCAGGATTAAAAGCTGAAGCCAAAGGTTTTATACTTGCACAGGACCAATGCTTGTTAAATAGAAATATCTCACCTGGAAAATCTGAGACTTCTACGGAAAACAAACCGAAAGAAATTTTTATGAACACCACGCAGACCCGCTTACGAAGATGGAACCTGTTACATTTTCATGGGACAGCACAGTAGTTATAGAGAACTATCAAAGCTCACCGCCAAGACATTGTTATCAGAGACCACAAAAAATGTATATCACCACAGGGGCAGCCAAAATATTTATGGCTGATATTCTGTTTTTTTTTTCTTTGTTTTTAATTCAATTCGGTAGTCAGTACCAGATGCACACTCCTGTAGTACTCTTTTCTGACCTTCTCTTTCGTTTGGGCATGCTGTATACCATCTCCTTCGCTAATTTCTAGGTATTTATACGCTTCATCTTGTTCTAGTTCCCTAATCTTTGTGATAAATCTACTGGGGGAATTTCTGTAATTCTCCATTTCTTGAATGTTAATTTTGCATATTTATCTAATCCGAATCCTTTCATATGTCATCACGGAAACATTTTACAATACTGAGGAGGCCCTTCAACTCATTGTCGTCTTTAGCAATGTGTTTAAGATCATCCATGTAGAGTAGGTGATTCAATGCTTATTGTTTAGTTTGTAACCATAACTATTGTTGTTTAGTTTATGCGTAAGTGGAATTAAGGACAAACAAAATAAAAGGGGTGACAGTGAGTCGCATTGAAAGATTCCACACTCGGGTATTCAGATGGTTGCAGATGGCAGTACCTCTGTGTGATTTAGGTATAGTGTGGTGTTCCACATTACCATGCTGTGCTTAATGAAATTTCCTACCACAGGGAAGACTTTGCACATTTCCAAAGTTTTAAGGACCCAAGAGTGTGGCGTACTATCAAAAGCTTTAGGATAATCAATCCTCGCAGCGCTAAGATGTTTGCATCATCTCCTGCAATTATCCAGGGTCATTTTATTTATAAGTAGTTGCTCGTTGCAGCCGTATGAACCTCTCTTGCATCCCTTCTGTTCCAAAGGAAGAACGTTGCTTGCTTCGAAAAAAGAGTACGGACGAAACGTTAGAACAAAGGTGATCAAATTATAGGTGGAATAGAGACATATTATTGGCCTGTAATTTTCGGATCAACTATTTCACTCGTTTTTGGCCTTAGATATGTAATAATAACGGTGATCCATTCCGGAATTTCATCATCTTCTTTCTTTTTTTTCTTCTTTTCTTCTTCTTCCTTTTCTCTTCTTCTTTTTCGTTTCTTTTTTTTTTTTCATTTAATTTTCTTTTCTTCTTCTTCCTTTTCTTTTCATTTTCTTATCTTCTTTCTCTTCTTTTTCTTTTCTTCTTTTTCTTTTCTTTTTAATTTTCTTCTTCTTTTTCTTCTTTTTTCTTTTCCTTTTTTCTTTTCCTTTCTTCTTTTTCTTCTTCTTTTTCTTGTTTTCTTCTTTTTTTACATTTTGTTTCCTTTTTTCTTTTCTTTTTTCTTTTCTTTTTCTTTTTTCCTTTCCTCTTCTTTTTTTCCTTTCTTCTTTTTTTCCTTTTTCCTTTCTTCTTTTTTCTTTCTTCTTTTTTGTTTCTTTTTTGTTTCTTTTTTTGTTTCTTCTTTTTTTTCCTTCTTTTTTTCTTTCTTCTTTTTTCTTTCTTCTTTTTTTATTTACTCTTCTTTTCTTCCCTTTTTTTTTCTTCACCTCCAGTTCTCGTTCTGTGTTATTTTTTAGTCACTTACTTGTGCACACATATATTCATATATCCATATACGCATTCATTTTTGTAATAAATTTTGTCTGCGCAATTATAATTTTATGATCGGTCATGTTTATGTCTAGAATTCGGTTATCATCTCTATGACTTTTAATAATAGTGATATGATTTATAAGGAAGTGAAAGGTCTATTCATATTCGTTGATGTAGTCATTTATAATCTTAATTTTGACCAGTTGTTATTATATAATTTACTGTTTTCACAATTGTCACCATAATCAGTTCTTTATATCTTATGGCCTTAAAGAAATGAATCGCACATAAATAATTATTTTGTAATCTTCTTTGAACACGCATCCCCTTTCAATCAAAACAATCACGGATTGGAAAAGCAGAATACACGAATAACAATGAAAATCAAAACTCGTTTGCATTAATAATGATAACTTGACATTTACAGGAACATTTTCCTTTTTCGAATACATACATAGATTTCTCGAACATCTGTTAACCATCATTTTGTTATTTAATAACATATAGATTTCATTTGACACGATGGAAAGAAAGATCTGACTATTAATCCTTTATGAGCGAATATTCTAAGCTATGAATTTTCTAGAAACATATTTACGGTCATCGTTGATTTAGATGTTGGAAATATTCAGAAATTGGCGTCAGAAAATACGAAATTGGTTGGAGTAAAGATGGGTTGGTTATTCTCTGAAATCAAGCCTACAACTTGTGGCGTCAAAAAGTTGAATGTTGTATGGTATTATGAAAATCATAGGTGGTGATGTTACAGAAAAATAATAAAACGGACCCAAAACATTAATGGATGAATATCACAACTTCTTTCTGGACGTGAGACATTTTTTTCTAATTAATCGCCTGTAAAATAATGTTTTAAAAATTACAAAATTATGTGAAACTTGTATAATGTGCGCCCACATCGGTAAAGAAACGTTCCGTTTGTAGACTGCTTGCCATACTTATGAAGTACTCGGTTTTTGATACATATTATATGAAATATCATTCATATTAATAGCTTAAATCTTTCTAGGAATCCTTTCAGCAGCATCTTAAAATGTTTGAAATATAAAAGTGTCTAAACAGTGAGAAACAAGAGTAACTTACGTCTTTGATAAAATATATCGAAAGAGAATATATAGCAATGAAAAGTACAGAAAAACTTACTTAACGTAATAAACCGGGAAACTGTGAAGACACATGATCACCCATATACTCAAAAAAAATAACATCTAAAAGAAGAACGATCTCAGTGCATACATGTAACTTTTAACTGTCAAAAGTTTACAGACTTCGAACTAATTAGTTTTTGATTAAATAGTTCTGATGGATTTTGGTGTCATTACATATTAACTTAATAATTGTCTGCCCGTGTGGCCCTAACAGTAAATCTGTGTTACTGTAACAACTTCCTTATTTGAGTGAGGTCTTTTCAATGTTCATATTGGTGTGAAGCTGACAAATTATCGTTCGTCTATCTAATGGGCAAGTTAATTAGACGCATTTATCTCTGAGATGATGATTTATTCCATGACATCTCTGCATATAACATTCAATGCTTGAAGATAGCTGACTATGAGTAGGTGTTATTTATTTTGTGAATACAGCAATTAAATTTTAAATGTGATGTCAAATATTGGAAGAGGTTACGTATAGATAGGGCACTCTCAGACAAACGTGCGCTGAAATGAGTTACACGCACACATATATGTATATAAGCAAAGAAGACAGACATACACAAACACTCAATTATATATATGGTGCAACACTGATTTTGGAATGTATGATGGAAAAAAGTAAAATATATTAAGTATGAATATATCAAAATAAATTATAAAGGCGTTAATCCATGTAAATATGAATAAATGCTGAAACAATTTTTGAATTTATAGAATTTATAAAGATGAAACACTGTTGCCAATTAGTGTTGTACACAATATCCGTCTTTTTATTATTTACATAACGTCTTTCCATGATATTGTGCGCTTTAAACAGTAAATATATTCCTTAAAATTGTATTATTCTATATATATATATATATATATATATATATATATATATACACACACACACACACACACACACACACACACATATATATATATATATATATATATATATATATATATATATATTTATTTGAAGTGTTGAAGCCCATTTTAATCTTAGTGGATTCGTTACTAAGCAGAATTGTCGCATTTGGGCTGATGAAAATCCAAGGAAGATTGTAGAAAAGCCACGAAATCCACAAAAGGTCACTGTTTGTTGTGCATATTTTGTGAGCGAAAACGTTGGGCCGTAGATTTATGAATTTGAATGTCCATTTTCGTAATAGGCTTCAATAACTTTAATATGTGGTTTGTTAATCTTCCAATGCTTGAAATTGACAAAGAATTATGATGTTACATCTGAAAGTAAAAGAAAAAAGTTATTAAACGCTTGAAATTAATTCACATTTCAAATCGGTTCAAGATATTGGAACACCATACATATATATGAGGTAACGATATATATCGTATGTATGAAGAACAGTATTGAAGAAATTTAATGAAACAATGGAAATCATTCAGGAATTCATCGGACTACATTTGTTATGTTGGTTGTACTACAGATTCGCACGACACGACGATGTTCTGGCACACTTTGATCATTTTTTTTTAAATCTACCCGAACTGGCTTAGTGTCATTTTCTTTTTCCTTCCATCACTTTTGTAAGTAGGTGTTTCACACTGTGATACTAGAAAATCAGCCAAGAATGTTGAAATGTTGTAAGAACCAGGGAGCAAATTTACTGCATACAACCTTGTGATTAAGGCGCTGTCTAGACATTTAGGTAGCAATGAATTATTTTCTCCTTTTATCAGAGCAGCATTTTTATATCAAATCTGTAGTCATTCCTGTTACGTTGGACATCAAACGCATTTGACGTATTATTTTGTAAAATGTCCCTTTTGATCAAATATAAACTTTTATTTCGATTCCTTGAGGGCTTACCTATGTATTTTGGGACAATTATTACAGGCGATGGACTTATTTCCTCCTTCAGGTTTTTGGCTATTGTTTTGTTTAGTATTAGTTTTTTTTTCATTGTTTTCCATGTAGTAACAAATTTTATGTTGTGTTTACAAAGCTTATTTTCGGTTGTAGATGTCATAGAATTATTAGGCAATAGGGGCTGGATTTTTTTTGGAATATTTTATGGATCTTCTATTTCGCATTGAATATAAAATAATTAGGGTAGCGGAGAAGACTAAAATAATAGTTTTCCTGTATTTCTCCTCCTAGTGTAAATAATACATCAACACTATTCTTAGCCGACGCATTTCGTCCTCTGAGGGAGTTTATCAAGTCAATCATAGGATTTATTTTGTTGCACGTGTTTATGTTTTGACAGACTTTTCAAACACCTGATAAATATTCATTAACGTTTTCAAACTCAAAAGCCCTGATAACACATTGAAATCACAGCTTTTGTATATAAACACGTGCAACAAGATAAATCCTATATTTACTTGGATGAAGACCATTAACGGGCGAAACGCTTCACTAAAATTTGTTATTTTTTTCTGTGCCTTTTTTTTTAATTCTGTATCTTTAGAGATGCAAGCTATTTGAAAATAAATTTCCCATCACGTTACATTGCTATCCCCTTGTAAAATAGAAAATGTCGAATTAATTACATACTGGGATATCAGAGCATAGTTCTAGTATGATATTTAAATGAATGCCTTGACACATGTATGACTCCTTAAGATATAATTGTTTAACTAAATGTAAGGAATGTAATTTATATATTGGTTTAACTTCAGTCCATTATGTTTGAAATTAAGTGACACGAATTCATTAAAAACATTCAACTTACTGTGAAAAATTTTGTACGTGATTGAATTTGTTTCATTTTAATTATCCTAGATCAAACATATTTAAAGTATTATTTACATTTAACACACTAATAATTAACAGTATATAATGATAATATGCCACAAATAATTAAAAATTACATTAGAAAATTACCAAGAAATCAAACACAAAAATCAAACGAAACAACAGAGCAATATACGAAAGTTTCTTGAATGGAAACTACTTACAAAACAATATAATATTGCAAACCACAAGAAAATAAGCAGATAAATAATATATATATATATATATATATATATATATATATATATATATATATATATATATGCCAATAGCACGCAAAGGTTACATAGTGAGAGTAAGCGTAAAGAGGTTTGTTTAGGATGTGACAGTGGGACAGAGATGAAAGTCAAGGCATCAGAAGATCCTGTTTGACATTACATTTAAATATTTGAGGATAATAGCTATCAGGGAAACAAGTATAGGAAGGACGTTCCACTGACGGCAGGTGCAAGATAAGAAGCTGTTGGAGTGAAAGAGATTGATTGAATAGCCGCTTCGATAGTGAAAGGGTTGAACCGAGATTCTAACCTAGTAACACGCTGATATTTATGTAGTGAACCAGTGAAAGTAGCTCGTTGGAGCAGTTGCCATGAAAATATTTGTAGTAAAGACAGAGGGAAGCAACAACATGTCTAAGAAAGTAGACGGGGTGTCATATCAGGTCCTATCACATTGCATATCCTTCTCTGGATTTTGTCGAGGACCTCTAAAGGAACAGCGTGAGCACCAGCCCATTTATGTTAGCAGTATCCATGCAAAGAAGAAGGGTTGATTTGCAGATTTGAAGGCTGGATTCAGGCGAGAATAGCCTTCTGATGCGACACAGAGAACCAAGTGTACTTGCGGTAGATAAAGCTATAGATTCAATGTATTTGTACCACTTCAGATTAGTGGACACCGTGAGACCAAGCATGTGCAGATAAGCGTTCCGTTGAGTTGGGCATCAGCAATCCTGTTGGGAGGCAGTAAATGTTCACTATGGTGGGTAATTTAGAACCCATTACAGTTTATATGCCATTATCTGCCCAAATTAATCCACGGATCGGAGGTCATTATCGAGGCCTCA